TCAAGAATTTTGTAAGTGGCGTGTCAAGCCTGCAACTTAAATGTGTTCTTATCGTGGTTCGGACGGGTCGCGGCTCTTCAAAATCGATTTTAGTAGCAGAACGACACTTGTGTCGTTCTGTATATTTTTCCAATAATTTGCTACTTTTTAAGGCAAGACAACAAGGATTGGACCCCCCAACCTAAGAAGGACGAAATTGTTGATTATGTAATAACTAACGATAGAATTGATATAGAATATAAGGTCTGAAATGGTGAAAACACAAGTCTTACTCTAGATTCGTTTGAAAGTACAAGTAATGGACATATCTCAATTATCGTAGTTCGGACATATCTCAATTATCGTAGAATATAAGACGTTTAGCCTGCCACCGAAATGGGTTCGGTTTATCGATTATCGTAGTTCGGACGGGTTACGACTCTTCAAAATTGATTTTAGTGGCAGAAGGACATGTGTCGTTTTGATGGTCCAGTAACAGCAGAAGTGTCGTGCTGGTCTAATTTTGTTTTGCAAACGTAACGACAGTTCTGTCGTTCTTTTGCCTGTTCTCAAACCAGTATCGGCTAAAGTGTCGTTTTCTACTCTGTTGCGTCATTTACAATCTTTTCCTAATCACGAACGACACAAGTGTCTTTATCATTGAATTTTATTTACACATAGTACAACAGTCATCCAATAAATGTTCTCATCCTATTGTCGCACAAGTGTCTTTTTTTCATAGTAACGGCACTTGTGCCGTTTTCATCAATATGTTTGGTCAAAATTCGATTCGAAGTTCAAGCATTGAGCACATATCCCGAACTTTGTAAGTGTCGCTTCCATCATGCAGAATGGCACAAGTGTTTCCAGGCAGAACGGCATAAGTGCCGTTAAACAACACTTGTGTCGTTTTGTTGGTTTCATCAATATTTTTATACTAAACCAGCCGAACGACCTCACAAATTGGACTCTCTAACTTGGGAAGGCTGAAAATGATGATTAGGTGACGATTATTGTGGCTCGGAAGGATTGTGGCACTTAATACACTTGTCAGAGGCAGAACGGCACTTATGCCGTTTTCTAAACAGTAACGACAATTGTGTCGTTTTCGTCTTTTTTTTTTATTAAGTAAT